CTTTCAACTTGAACCGTTACAACTAAGGCGCGACTTATCGATGCTAAGATTTTACACAAAAAACTGAACAATCAAATTGATTGCCCCCTAAAATTAAGTAGAATTAATTTCCGAGTCGTAAGGTTAGGCAGTTGCTGTCAGAATTTGTTGTACCCTGACATTTGTAATACAAACATCTGGGGTAAGTCACCGTTAAACTTAATGTGTAAGTGTTTCAATGCGATTTCTCCTGTATGTGATATATCTTGTGATCGAGAAAACCATGCATTGTATTGTTACCGAGATTGGTACCTTGGTGTGGACATAAAGTCAATATATTAAAAGCTATTTCCACATTTCGAATCCTGGCACACTTGTATACAGGATGTGCCTTAATGATATGCGAATATTTAAGGGTGTGCATCTACATGAAAAATTAATGTTAGTTTGCTTTATAAACTATGGTCCAAAAATGTTTCCTTGAAGTTTTTGGAAAAAATGGAAATTAATTAATATTGTCAGAACCGCGTTAGATATTTCACTGATATTTGGTATATAGTGAAAGTTAATATTGTTGATTATTTTTCAATGCAAAAATAATTTTCAGCTTTAACAGTGTCGTGCGTACGGGTATTGACTTTTAAGAAAAACATGGTACGCCAATGGTTGTTTGGCAAACAAAAATTATGTTTGAATTCCTCGTTCAATTTAAAACAAATGATCTCTCTTGAATTGTTTGCCTTCGCTGCGCCATTTTTGAGTAAAAAAATAAAAACCGAGCAAATTAATGTAATAATTGAAGAATGCGATTTAGCTGTACTAAGTGACATATAAATCCGAACACCCAGTTTAAATAGTTTTAATTTAATAAAAGTTGGTGAATGTATTTATCTTACTGTAAATAACAAGTGAACAAATTTTCAGCCTTATCAGTTGGACATTCTTGTTTTTATACTGCTTTTTTTTAATTCACTAACGCTCTAAAAATGAATATTTCAGCCGCAGCAAAGAATGACGTTGGCGGATTTTGGTTCTTGACATCCTTTACGATCGGTTACGATGCCTAGAGTACGGAGACCTGTACGATTTCGTCAACTTAGTGAGTTTGATAGGGGCCGTATAGTGGGACTTCGGGAAGCTGGACTTTCTTTTCGGGCAATTGCAGTTAGAGTGCAAAGAAGTGTAGACACTGTTGTTAGGTGTTGTCAGGCGTGGCTTCGACAAGGCCGTACGCAAAGAGCAAGGGGCACTGGACGCCGCCGTGGAACAACAGACCGTGAGAATCGCCGCCTAAGATTATTGGCCTTAAGGGACCGTTTCTCCACTACCAGGTCCATTGCAAATGAATGGTTTGCAGAACACGGAAGACCTATTGGCATGCGAAGTGTTTACCGACGAATGAGAAGTTTTGGCTTGTTTTCATACCGGCCACACTGGGTCCTCCCTTTAACTCGAAAACACCGACGTAATCGCCTTGAGTGGTGCAGACAACGGTCACTCTGGGATCAGGAATGCAACAGTATTGTCTTTAGTGACGAGTCTCGATTTTGTTTAGGCATGCACGATGGTCGTGCCAGGGTTAGAAGGCGACGTGGTGAAAGGAGGAATCCACAGTTTTTTGTTGAAAGACATGTTCATCACACTGTTGGAGTTATGGTTTGGGGTGCTATAGCTTATGGTTCCAGGTCACCTTTAATCTTCATCAGAGGTAACATGAACGCGCAGCGTTATATCCACGAAGTTCTAGAACCCCATCTTTTACCCTATCTTGACACCCTGGCAGATCCAACTTTCCAACAAGATAATGCCCGACCACATGTTGCAAGAGTCACAATTGACTTCTTTCAACATAATGATGTCACATTGTTACCATGGCCACCAAGATCTCCCGACATATCCCCAATTGAGCACGTGTGGGATATGATGGGTAGGAGATTGCTCAATTTGCAACGTCCTCCTCAGACTCTAGAAGCACTTCGAGAGGAGTTGGTGGTTGCCTGGAATGAGATACCACAGGAGGACATTGACCACCTGATCAGAAGCATGCCTAGGCGCGTTGGAGAATGCGTAGCACATCAGGGTGCATCCACACATTATTAAAGGTCAAAGGGCTTTAAAGCAGTGCAATCATTTTGAAATTTTTATCATTTACTTATTATGCTTCATTAAGTACTTATACAAAATTTTATTAAAATAAAACCATTTAAACTAGGTGTTCGGATTTATATGTCACTTAGTATATAAATATCTAGTTGCTCTGGAATATGTCACTGGCTTGTGACATCTGACAAGTCTATGTTATTCAAATCTGTTCGCTGTAACATCTTTTTCATTATTTACTTTTTACAATCTTATTAATAATGGTGAATTATCCAAATGCAGAAATGGCGGAAATGCATTACGTATACTCGTATGGCCTTGCCGACGGTAATGGTGAGCAAGCCAGACGGATTTATCACCAGAGATATCCCGATCGTGCTTTGCCAGATAGTCGAATCACTTCTAATATTCATCGTCGTCTTGTTGAAACTGTTTCTGTCCAAAAAGGAACATATGAAAGTAGACCTCTAAGTGTGAGAACACCTGAAATTGAGGAAGCAGTGCTGCACAAAGTCGAAGAACATCCTGAAACGAGTACGAGGAAGATCGCTAGACACTAAATATTTGCCATTAAATTGTTCGGAGAATTTTAATGGATTTTTTGTTATATCCTTACCATATTTTAAGAGTACAGGCATTACTTCCCATTGATTTTCCAAGGCGTGTGACCATTTGTCAGTGGTATCTTCAAAAAATTACACACAATCCGCAATTTGAATCAATGATTCTGTTCACGGACGAAGCTAATTTTTCTCGAAATGCCATTCAGAATTTCCACAATAATGATTTGTAGGCAGAAGAAAATCCCTATGCCGTAGCCGAAACCCGTTTCCAACACCAATTTTCGGTTGACGTATGGGCAGGAATTATTGGCAACCACTTTATTGGCCCATTCGACTTGACGGAAAGACTTACCTCAATTTTCTTCAACAACAGTTGCCTTTGCTGCTTGATGATGTTCCGTTAGTAATAAGAAACAATATGTGGTACATGCATCATGGTGCACCAGCGCATTTCAGCGGTTCTTAATTATTTACAAACTGTTTATCCAAATCGTTGGAATGGCCGCGGTGGACCCCAAGAATGGCCACCAAGGTGCCCAGACCTCAACAGCTTAGATTTCTTTTTGTGGGGCTATCTTAAGACACTAGTGTACAAAAGTTTCATTACACTGTACAGGAATTAAGAGAAATAATAGTTACAGCTTGTGATAGAATAAAAACCATGAGAAGGAGGGCGGAAGCATGGATACTAGGTGAAGGGGGGCATTTTCAACAATTTTTGTAATCATTTGGTTGGTTTTAATGTTTTAATTCAAGAATAATTTTTATTTGGCAAAAAAACGGTGGCGAACTATTTTTTTCTTAAAAAATATCGAAGTCATTACACGTAGGTACGCACGCCACTGTTAAAGCTAAAAATTATTTTTGCATTGTAAAATATGCAACTTTATTAACTTTCACTACGTACTAAATATCAGTGAAATATCTGAAGCGGTTCTGAAAATATTAATTAATTTCCATTTTTTTCCTAAAACTTCAACACCTCGAGTTTTTGTGAGGAAACATTTTTGGACCATACATTATAAAGCAAACTAACACCCTAAATATTCGCATATCATTAAGGAACACCCTGTATATTTATCTGTTTTTCGATTTTTGCTCCGCAGTTGTAAAACTATTGATTTATTTTGGGAATTATAATAAAATAAAAAAAAGAGTTTTCCGCTCTTCAATATCGTTTTTCGTTCAGTACTAATGAGCGTTTCTACATTCGCGATAATTGTAGGAAGTATGCAAAACTAGATGCTTTTCAATCTTCTTGATAGCATTACCTATCCGGTTTGATTTCAAACTAACAAAAAGTCTATCTGAACCATGCGGGTAATCTCCTCAAGCCAGCAACGGCTCTAGTAGAAATCCTTTGCAATATGAGAGTGCCGGCCAACCCGTGCATTAAAGAAGTGGGCGAGCATAATCTTTTCATGCATGAAATTTCATTCGTAATTCTCAATAGCTAATTTCATTTTTTATACTTAATCCTGCAACATAAATCTGTCAATTTCAAAATGAGTTGGCTGGTAGGATAACGGATATTTGTTAATTATTAATCTCGAGGACGTTCTACGTACAGAGTGTTTCCTAAACATAGACAAACATCCCTTGGACTATTCTAATGTTATTTTGTCCTTTGATAATATTTATTGTATGTGATACTTGGGTGTTTCCAAGATAGAGGGAAAAGTCAAGTGGTGATTTTTAGGAATAAGGAAATTTTGCCTATTGCAGATCTTTGGAAAACCGAAGATCTCCTTTGAAGGTATTTACAAAACGAAACGGTTATTCGAAAAGGCAGTTTTATCAAGAAATACCACTCGTTGAGCTCCTTAACCTAAAAAAACTTCAAAATGCATGAAGGGAAACCTCCAATTTTCTCCTTATGAAATCCCGAAATCTTTCGAGTATCTCACAGATTCTTTATTCAGTTAAATCTAGTGACATTCCACTGGGATTGTGTAAACTATTAACACTAGGGGACCCCCTCAGGAGTTCAAATCCAAAGAGGGAGAAACCACGACGATATTTGACAATCGCGAGCAACCAATCTGAATGGACGTATTTCAATGAAAAATGGTGGCTTTGAAAAAGTTTGTCAGTTTTCGACGCCGAGATTGTAGGTTTGTATTCTAGCTGAAAGTATATGTATGTAACGCCAAATGTAGTTTTTATTAATAAAAATGTTATTTTGCGAAAATTTTCACAGCCTGTAAAAGATCAAAGCTACCGAACATTTTTCATTTTCTATGTTGATGACATATTTTCTCTTATCTGAAATATCTCGGATAGAGCCATCTTCTAGGACACTGTGTGAATCTGTGAATTTTTTATTCTAATTTGTTTCTATTATCTGTGTATACTTACAGATTCTCTGTTGGCGGGTGGTGTTGCTTTTCCTTTAGCCAGTCCCAGTGCTGAATGGTACTGTGCCCAAAGTCCCACCATCTCCTCGCTGTTAGGCACGTTCGTCAGATCGGGAATGTCACTATTCCCGTTCCTATTAGCTGCTGATAAATAAGTCAATGCAAATTAAAAGAATCAATGGGACAATTTATTAATGACAGCGGGAAATGTTTTCAACAAATTTTTCTTTCAGTGAAGTCTCGAATATTGCTCATGGCTGATAGCCTATCAGAATAGCTCCATATTCTCAATGATCTCTTCAAACTATTTTTAACATAATGGTAATATTCTGTAGCATTACATTTCCAACGGTTTGACACTCGATTGTGAACTCCACAGATTATTAGCTATACAACACAATATCGATCATGTAGAACCCTACAAGGTCATAACTTTATATGTTTCTAAGGACACAACTTTGTGAAAGTCCTAAATGGAAATTATCACATTAGAAATTTTTTGAAATGCAGACAAATTGCATTCAATCAGATACCTATATGTATAACAAAAAGGTGAGTGCTACGTGCGAAGAGGATATCGGTGTTCAAAGTGGTATTATGAGGTGTACATAGGAACCTAGATTACGATCCAAAACAGGTTTCAATAAAATCGCTTAAACCTCATCTGATATTTTGTTTCTAATTTAAAAAAAAGTTTCATGAGAAGTATACAGGGGTTTACAATGTAAACAGTACAGGTTACTCGTGGCATTCGATTATTTTTTGAGTTATACAGGGCCACAAGTAGTTTGAAATTAATTACATTAACATCTCACCTATGAGAACTTTTTAATGATTATTGAAGAATTATAATTCTCACACACCCTAGTGTGTTTTATTATTGATGTGAAGTAGAAAGTATTGGGACCTTGCGCTCATGTAAAAAAATACTAAGTTAAAAATTCGAAAACAAAAGTTGAAGTCTCATTATAATTGTTTATTAGTTTATTTCAATTTTTGTTTTTGACGCAACATTTTTATGGAGATACGAAGTCGCTTAAATGGGAGCACAGTTGCGTGTTTGAGTAAGAGGGAGGCGGAAAAAAACGAATTTTCCCAAAATCGTTTTAAGTTTTTTCTGACTTTATTTGTATTGGGATTTCAAACTGCACATTAACATTGCCACTTTTTCTCCTCTACTACGAGGGATGTATTTTCTCTTAACCTCACTCATTAGTAAACTTAAATTCAAAGTTTCACAACAATACGTGCAGTGTTCTCACTACAGGGAATTTTTAAGTGTCACGAAGTCATTAGAAAAATGGAACTCAACCGAGAACATTTTCGCGCCATAATTTATTACAACTTTCAGAGACAATTATCGCAACAAGAATGCCTTGCTGAGTTACTGTCTGTTTTCGGCAACGAAGCGCCACATCAGTCGACAATTTTCCGTTGGTATGAAGAATTCAAACGTAGACGGGTGAGTCTTAGCGACGATCCCAGGGTGGGTGCACCAAAAGATAGACATGTGACATATCGCGAGAGTGAGGAGTTCTTGAAGATCTCAAAGACATCAATTCAAAAAATTTTTCATGAAGAATTAGGAGTAAGAAAATTATTTTCTCGTTGGATATCCCACCTGTTGACTGAAGAGCAGAAAGCAGCCAGGGTTAATTGGTGTCAAAAAACGCTTGACCGTTTCAATTCCGAAAACTCAAAAAATGTGTACAGCACTATTAGTGGTGATGAATCGTGAATTTACTGTTATGAACCAGAAAATAAACGACAGTCGGCTGTTTGGGTGTTCCAAGGTGAAGAAAAGCCAACAAAAGTCATCCGTTTTTGAAGTGTTTCGAAAAAGATGGTCGCGACATTTGTGTCAAAAGCTGGTCATATTGCAACAATTCCTCTTAATGAGCAAAGAACTGTTACTGCGGAATGGTATACCACCATTTGTTTGCCAAAAGTCATCACCGAGCTTCGAAAAATCAACCCCGAAAGAAGAATCATCCTCCACCAAGACAATGCAAGCTCGCACACAGCCCAAAAAACAAGGCAGTATTTAACGGAAGAAAACGTGGAATTATTGGACCATCCTCCATATAGTCCCGATCTAAGTCCTAACGATTTCTTTACTTCCCCGAAAATTAAAAACAGATTGCGTGGTCAAAGGTTCCAGTCACCAGAAGAAGCAGTTGACGCAGTTGTCGCAAAGACATTTAAAACTACCTGCCGTGTTGTTTTATTTCCATATGCAAACTTAAAAGACATCTCTCGTAGACGGTATAATTAGAACTTCAATATGGCGTTTTGTCTCTTGTCCTCTAGCATCAACTTTATTTTTCCTAATAGATATCATATTGGATTTTTACACAGATGAATAGAGGTTTTAATTCCGTTTCCGAAAATAGATAATGTCATACATGGATATTACCAAGCCTTCCTTATTAAAAAAAAAATCGTTGCTTATTTGAAATGAGATTTTAACATAAATTGCATATTAGCATTGCCACTGTTTCTCTGCTACAAGAAGTCGTAGTCAAATTCTCAATTGAACGATTCTGCTTTCGATCTCCATCGTTAACTTTGTTTTTTCTTGTATTAAAATTTTATACAGTCGAACGCGGAATCTGCATTTAGTTATGAGTATAATACATTTATTTATGTCACGATTAATCTCACATATTATTTTAACAAAGTAGTATCTTCTTAGTAGTATTTAAATGTACACAATTCCAATACAGTCCATATGAAAAAACAAAGTTGGTGATGGAACTGGAAAGAACAAACCCCGAGCTAAAAATTTGACTACGCCATCTTGAACAGGAGAAAAAGTGACAAGCGGCATCTCAAATAAAGTTAGGAAAAAATAAAAATTATTTTTCTACAAATGTGGTTTACGGAACAAAAATGACTATCTGATAATTGCAAAGCCTACCTAGGAACTTTTTTTTAATTAACTCAGGTTTGGCAATATCAATGTATATGTTTTTAGAATCTGAAACATCCGGTATAAGTTTTGTATGTGAATTGCGACCATACGCTCAAATAAAAATGGTAAATCATATATTCGAAAATTGGTGAATTTTGGAAAAATATCATAATTGCGAAAAAAATAATATAAAATAGCGTTCTGGATCAAAACCTAGGCACAGGTAGGTATGCAGGTGAGGATTTGTGTGTTTACCTTGGTGATTGTGATAGTTCCACGCCAACAGCATCAACTTGAGCTTGTCTGTGTCTTTCATGTCTTTCACGGCGCCGGTTCCTGCACACACAGCCAATTCCAACACGATTAGCAGGGTTGATTTACATCATTTTTACAAAAGGAAACTGAATAATATAAGTGTCCACGAGTTGTTATACAGAGAAAACCAAATTTGTCTGACCGCTTGAGTTCAATGTCTACGAGAGAGATGCGTAAGAAGTGCGTATCAACGCATGTTAGAAAGAGATAGAAGCCGGCTGAAGAGCGAACGTCTTCAGCACATTTTCTAGCAACGGTGACGCAGAAAGTCGTGAAATCTGTTGCGATGTCAATATTTTACACCAGAAAATGTTCGCACAGGCTTCTGCAATAGATTAGGTTACTGTCAAACCCATGAAGGAGGTCTGTTCGAACAATTAATTTAATATTTTGATTATACCTATTTATTTAATTTTTGATGCGACTTGTGTTTTAATTTATTTTAGAATTATCTTTGATTTCCACCGATGGTGCAACAGCGAGCGGTCGAAAAATGTAACACATACCATTACGCAATACAAATTATCACTGCTTGCGAGCATGTACGTGAAAACCATTTCGAATCACTCCCCAATGAGCGCTAGATGGGTACTGACAAAAATCGCTCATCTATGATCATGGAGGTGGAATGAATGAATGAATGAATCTTGAAATTAGAGGCATTCCAGCCACCATAAGGAGCCAGTGCATAGGTCGCTTAAGCGAGCCCTTATGCACCTCTGCAATCCTTAGATCACAAGCCTCGCCCTTTTAGCGAAGTTGAGAATCGCCTTGAGTCCAAGCTCCTTGACGTCCTGAGGGTCCAAAGTAATGGACCCCAGTATAGTCTGCCTATAGTAGCTCAGAGCTTCACAGCGACACAAAACGTGCGTCGAGGTCTCTTCCTCTACCCCGCAGCGTTCACACAAGGGATCCTCAGCCACCCCCATCACGTGCAGGTGACGCCTTAACGTGTTATGGCCCGACAACAGTCCCACCAGCAACCTTAGGTTGGCTCTATCCAGAGATAGGCAGAAGTGTCCATCCTTAGCACTGAGCCCTTCAATGAGTTCCCGTGCCTGGCGGAGATGTCTAGAGATCTTCTCCATTTCTGAGAATGTTGTCTTGCAACCCACGTCTCCATTTTCCTCCTAGCGTTATGCGCGGTCACTCCTAGAGCTGGCTCAGGACCAACGAGCTTGCTGGCTGATCCTGTCTGCCAGAGTGTCCGCCGTCTCATTGCCCCTTATCCCAGCGTATCCCGGTACCCATATTAACGATACCGGATGCCTCGCTGCGAGGCAATCCAGAGCCTCCCTGCCTGGCAATACAAGACTCGAAGTAATCTTACAGGCACTTAGTGCTTTCATTGCAGCCTGGCTGTCTGATAAGATTGTTAATCTTCTCCTAGGCCCACCCTCCTCCAGAATGTGAGATACACAAGCCAGAATTGCAAATCCTTCCGCCTGGAAAATAGTGGTGTATCCACCGAGAGGCAGAGATAACCTAGTTCTAGGCCTAGAGACCCCGGAATCGATCCTAAGCAGGTTCGACACAATTTACAATTCAAAAATTTGTACGCTCAAAATAAAACCATTATCTGGGCGTAGATAATAGACTAATGCATATTTTCTTAATTCAAATCTGGAGTAACATTTTGGCAACGCGGTAGATTGCCGCGTCAGCGTTGCTAGGCAACGCGGTGATGAGCCTCGCTTTTCAGCCGGCTTCTATCTCTTTCTAACATATGTGTCTATACACACTTCTCTCTCGTACACATTGAGCTCAAGCCGTCAGACAAATTTGGTTTTCAGTGTATAGCAGGATGCCATCTTGCTTAGGAATATACTAAGCTTCCCGATACAGACAACCAATTACCTAGTTAATTTAAATAATCGGGTACTAAAATAAAAAGGAAAATGTTGATTAAGGTTTAAAATACATATGTTCTAAAATATTCAAATGCAAAAATCTTATAATTGTGATCAATGTCAAATTTGAGGGCGAAAACTCCGCTTACAGTCCCTAGTATCTTATTATACATATATAACTTGTTTTTATTATAAACCGACGAAGACACCTACATTTTTCAACAGCACTACAAGACTCGTGTGGACAAATACAAATGCAATACAAAAATTAAACATAAAACAACAAAAACCCTTTAAAAGCCTTTAAAATGAAAATTTTCAGTAAATAATATACTTCAAATGCAGCCCAATGGTTCGTTCCTTCCCAAAATTAATATCTTTGATGGATATAAATCTCCTAGAGGTTGACAAAACACGTTGTTTAGACGGTGTCAAATCTCACATGTTTAGATAATCGTTTAGTTACTGAGTTAGTTCGTTCTCTTCTGTCAAAATGTCTACATACACGAATCTACGTAAGATTATATTTAAATGAAAAATCATCTTTTTAGCTGTATTTTTCTATATATCGACCTGCAAACTATAAACTCTGCAGGCAACGCAAAATGGAGTGAGGCCAGAGGGAACGTGATACTTTGCGTTTTAGAAAATGTTGTCTCCGTTACCGATAGAATAAACCACACATATCAATATTTTCTGTTTTCCTTTTTTTTTTTAATTTACTCCATTACCAACAGTTATCACTATGAGTTGATAACAATAAAGTATGGGTTGTCTTCTTCATATATGGACTGGAATAATTTTTTGGCGTTTTCCTTTTGATTTTGGCAACATATTAAATTGTTCATGCGCAATTACCTTTTCATTTCAGTTTTTTATAAAAATTTAACTTGGTTTCTACACCGAATTTGCAGTCATGTAGCAACTGCTGGGTAAATTTGTATACTCGTACTTACAGGTATACTATGGAAATTATATAATTTTGTTGTTTTTCAATCTCTAGGTGTTAGGTTTCGATATATTTTCTTGTGACATGTGCATTTTTGATGTTGTACGTTATTTTTTGAGGGATTGCTCGTCACGTTGAAAGTAGTTTTTTCATTGATATTCTAATGGTTTTAATTGAAATTCAATATTCTCTGATGAAGAAAAAGCTTGGCTTAAAGAATCTCGTTTTTCTCTGGTTTGACTGTATTTTGCGTTGGCTGCCTCTCCGATAGTTTGCATCTCAGCAAGTGATTGCGTATAACTGAAAAGCTACATTACATTCAATGAAGGCAACTAAACATTAAAATTGAATGTACGAAGTGTCCTATCAGCATCTACAAGACCTTTGGCATTAGTAGATTTCCTGTGTGTTTAAAAAAAAACTATGAATCTGACCGAACTAAATTAAACAAAGCAATGTTCTAAACCAACCCTGCAGAATATAATTCAAATGCACCGCGAATTTTGGAAACTTGGGTTGTACGTATAATAAATGTTTTGTGTTTTTGTTGTTTGAGTAAGCTAGAGGTACGAGTACTTTAGCTACTGCTACCTTAGCAAGTTGCTAGTAAGCTTACCTCCATAATGGTCATCTTCGTTACCCTCTGACGATTCTGGAGTTGGAAGGTTCTCCTGAAACAAAAAAAACTCCATGTTAATATAGAGATACTTAGAAGCTCATCCGGGCCGCATCTTGAAAGGCAATACAAATCGAGGTTTGACTTTCAAGATTTTTTAACACTAAAATTGTTCATTCTGCTTATTCTCAAATTTGTCATTTCATTGATTTTTCTGAAATCATATACTTGGGTCGCTGCAAGCCTGTCACACATACGTTAAAAAAGTCGATTCCATACAATAAGTTCTCATTTCAAGTAGTTCATTAACACTTTTGAGAACAATACCGAGACATTAAACAGGCATTTCCGTCTTATAAGCTGAGATGTAAAAAAGATATCGGATTCGCACAGACTGATTTTTCAGTTTCCGGTTATCTAGCAGTATCTAGTTGCACATTTATGCAATCCTAGAGAAGTCATCAGCATATCTGGTAGAGTCTGATAACCAGTCGTTCTTAAATTTCCCATTTCAATACAGGTATGATTATACAGGGCGTTCCTTAATGATATGCGAGTATTTAAGGGTGTGAATCTACATGAAACATTAATGTTAGTTTACTTTATAAACTATGGTCCAAAAATGTTTCCTTACAAAAACTCGGGGTGTTGAAGTTTTAGGAAAAAAATGGAAATTAATTAATATTTTCAGAACGACTTCAGATATTTCACTGATATTTAGTACGTAGTGAAAGTTAATAAAGTTGCAGATTTTTCAATGCAAAAATAATTTTTTTAACAGTGGCATGCGTACGGGTATTGACTTCGATATTTTTTGAGAAAAAAATGGTACACCAATGGTTTTTTGCCAAATAAAAATTATTTTCGAATTCCTTGTTCAATTTAAAACAGATGATCTCTCTTGAATTATTTTCCTTCGATGCGCCATTTTTTAGTAAAAAAATAAAAACCCTTCTATTGTCTAACATGCAAATTTATTATTAATTTAATTGGAAAAATTATACACATTAGGGGTAATGAACAACAACAACTGACAACATAAACATAATATTAAAACCAACGAAATGATTACAAAAATTGTTGAAAATGGTCCCCTTCACTTAGTATGCATGCTTCCCTTCTCCTTCTCATCTAATTGCGCACTCGTTGAAATATCCCTGGAGCGTTTTTTACTCTATCAAAAGCTGCAAATAGTAAGTCTCTTAATTCCTCTACAGTGTTAAAGGGACTTGTGTACACTAGTGTCTTAAGATAGCCCCACAAAAAGCAATCAAAACTGTTGAGGTCTGGGGACCTTGGTGGCCATTCTTGGGGCCCACCGCGGCCAATCCAACGATTTGGATAAAAAGTTTGTGAATAATTATGTACCGCTACACTGAAATGCGCTGGAGCACCATCATGCATGTACCACATATTGTTTCTTATTACTAACGGAACATCATCAAGCAGCAAAGGCAACTCTTGCTGAAGAAAATTGAGGTAAGTCTGTCCGTCAAGTCGTCCCGGCAAGAAAAATGGGCCAATAGAGTGGTTGCCAATAATTCCTGCCCATACGTTAACCGAAAATTGGTGTTGGAAAAGGGTTTCGGTTACGGCATAGGGATTTTCTTTTTCTTCTTCAAATGATTATTGTGGTTATTCTGAATGGCATTTCGAGAAAAATTAGCTTTGTCCGTGAACAGAATCATTGATTCAAATTGCGAATTTTGTGTAATTTTTTAAAGATACCACTGACAAAAGGTCACACGCCTTGGAAAATCAATGGGAAGTAATGTCTGTACTCTTAAAATATGGTAAGGATATAACAAAAAATCCACTAAAATTCTCCAAACAATTTGATGGCAAATATTTAAGTGTCTAGCGATCTTCCTCGTACTCGTTTCAGGATGTTCTTCGCCTTCGTGCAGAACTGCATCCTCAATTTCAGGTGTTCTCACACTTAGAGGTCTACCTTCAGATGTTCCTTTTCGGACAGAACCAGTTTCAACAACACGAAGATGAATATTAGAAAAGGTTCGACTATCTGGCAAAGCACGATCGGGATATCTCTGGTGATAAATCCGTCTGGCTTGGTCACCATTACCGTCGGCAAGGCCAAATACGTAATGCATTTCCGCCATTTCTGCATTTGAATAATTCACCATTATTAACAAGATTGTAAAAACTAAATAATGAAAAAGATGTCACAGCGAACAGATTTGAATAACAGAAACTTGTCAGATGTCAAAAGCCAGTGACATATTCCAGAGCAACTAGATATTTATTGCTAAATTGCTTTCTAATTAATAATTGATTATTACATTAATTTTCTCGGACAATCGAACCGTTTTTATTTTTTTACTCAAAAATGGCGCATCGAAGGAAAACAATTCAAGAGAGATCATTTGTTTTAAATTGAACGGGGAAGTCAAAAATAATTTTTATTTGCCAAAAAACTATTGGCGTAATATTTTTTCCTTAAAAAATATCGAAGTCAACACCCGTACGCAGGCCACTGTTAAAGCTAAAGATAATTTCTGCATTGAAAAATATGCAACTTTATTAACTTTCACTACGTACCAAATATCAGTGAAATATCTGAAGCGGTTCTGAAAATATTAATTAATTTCCATTTTTTTTTTTCTAAAACTTCAACACCCCGAGTTTTTGTAAGGAAACATTTTTGGACCATAGTTTATAAAGCTAATATTAATTTTTCATGAAGATTCACACCCTTAAATATTCGCATATCATTAAGAAACACCCTGTTATTTTACGTATTCCTCAACATTCTCGAGATATGTTCCGAAATTAGCTGAGAAAAAGATTTTATTCGCTTTTTCGTAAACTCTTTAACACTGATTCAGTTTATTGTGCGTCTTTCTTATATATATTTTTCCAATACAAATATCTAATACTTTTACTGAAAGTTGAGTAAATTGTACCATTTGGCATATTTTATAAAATAACTCGTTAAGGACTTATTTGACTCAAATGATGATTGAGGGTGTAGAATAAAAAAATTCAAATAATGTTGTTGCAAAAGAACCGGTCAGTTCAGTTGTTTCGGTTTTTAAATTGTCCCTTAGTAAAAGTCATTAAACTTTGGTTGTTTGTAAAACAGAATTGTATAACAAAATATCGTGTTAGATAATTGTTAAATTTGGAACATCAGTGAGACAAAATATCGCCCTAGAGAATTAAATGAAGATATAGGTATGAATCGAAAAGATTCATTCGTCGAATTCAAACAGAAGGTATTTGAAGCATATTGGTAAAACAAACACATTATAGAAAGTTACTATACAGTCAAGTCGGCTGGGAAACGAAGCTCAGGGCTGCATTCGTAAGTTGTTACAGAAGGTATGTACTTCGTACTTACTCTGTAACAATTTTAGTGTTCTTAATTTTTTGACGTTCCTGTTCCATGTGTTCGGAAATAGATCAAAGAAATCCTGGAAGGTCAAAAATGTACATGTACATTACCAAGTGATTTACAAACGCTTTCATATATCGAATTTGTGCGTTGGTTGCTCGTGACGAATTCCTCTACAGGACATTCCCGTACAATTAAAAAATCAAACGATGGTATAAATAAATATTATTTTTTCAAAAAGTGAGGTAGGTTAAATTTTATTATAAAATGATCAACAGTTACGAAAAATGCCACCTCAGTTTCCTGAAAGTTATTATTTGGTTACAAAGACGTATCCAAGATTGTATGATACTACGTGAACACGTTTTACAGAAGCCAACACATTTTAGCTTTTATTTTTTTATATATTTTGACGTAAGATGCACCAAACAGGCTAACTAGGTGGTGTTAGAAATATACAATTCAGTAAATATTCAGGTGGTGCAGTTTAAAAGCCGATACAAAAACATACATTAAAAATAATTCATATGAAAATACTTCGTGCAAAATAGTTTCTATACAGTAATATTAAATTACTAACTACAAAAACGACTACAAGGTAATTCCCATCCGATTCTAAACAACAATTTTTTATTCTTTAAAATTAGCCGTCTAGGAAAACTCGTCATTGAAGAAAACACATGATATACCGTTCATAAATATTCAATTATATAATTATTCCAGGATGCAAAAAATTAAAATGGGTATGAGAACAAGCAGTAGCATGCCGTGAGGCGAGGCGTTCAAAATTGCAAGTAACAATGCACCCAAGATTCGAATACCAATGGGCTTCCTGCCGCGTATTTTGTGGTCAACGCACTGGAACGACGCTGACGTTGCCGAGGTCATGGTTTCGAATTTCTGCGGGATTATAGGAAATTACTCAGGTTTTGCCGTTTCCGTTCACGTAGAAAATATTCTTGGAAAATCTATTTTCTAATTTAATGTCAATATTTAAGGGGAATGTTTTTGGGGCCATTTTTAGAGAAAACTTGACTTTTGAGATATAGGGTGGAAAATTTTTCAAAAATACATAATCATAATATCTTTAATACTACCATAATGTCTGTCAAAATAGGCAAGTGAAATTTCATACGAACGTCACTGTTGGAAATAAAAGAAATGTGGTACATTAAATAGTGCCTCTTAATAGTACATATATCTCAAATATCATTAAAATATCTAGTAGTATTAAAGGTAGTAATAGTAAATGCTTTATTTTTTAGAGCTTTACCACCCTGTACCTCAAAAGTTTATTTGAAATTTTATTCTGAAAAAGGACCCGAAAATAGCACTCTTGAATATTGACATTCAATTAGGCAACACCCTGTATATTTGAAGTAAAAAAAACGTGTTCCTATCGGGTGGTAAGGGAACAAGATCAAAGATTCACATTCAAGTTAAAATTTTCACGGAAGCTCTTCCAAACTTAAGCCAATCAATATTTACTAATCTGCCTTCTAGAGAATGCATCAGCTGTGTTGCGAAACATACACCTTATTCAAACACTTTTTTCAACAAAAACGCTCTTGTAGTATGGATAAATACCACACTGAACAAAAGCTGTATTACTAGACAGTTAGGTTTGTTCCAACAAGCAGTTTCAACCTAGTTCAGAACCAATTCCGAATTATTTTTCTGCGCCTATTCGCGGTAAGTAC